TGGCCTGCCTCCCCGGTCTTATCTGCCTCCCTCAGCTTGTTTCACTTCTTTTCCTTGGCTTCCTTGTTCCCTTGCCTCCTTCTTTCATCCCATTGTCCGCCTCCTGCTCGTGGCCTGCTCACCCTGTTCCAAGGCTGCTTCCTCGCCTCCTCCTCTTCCCCACCTCCGTTCCGTGGCCGCACGTTGCTGCCTTCATGGCTGCTGTAGCCCCCTGGGTTTTGGGCTGCTTTAGAGCAGATTCTCATACTTCTGTTAACACCGGTGGAGGCAAGGGCCAGGGGGGCAGGCTGGCCTGTCGCCCTTCCAGGACCTGAGTCACACACCAGTGACGATCTCACACTCTCGCACGTGTTGGTCTGAAGGGTTCTCTCGGAGTCCAGTGGGACTCCGTAGTAATTTTACTAATGTACAATCCCACCAGCTGTAAAGGCCTTCCTTTTCCTCTACATCCTCTCTTGCACTTATCATTATTTGTGTTCTTGAGGGCTGCCATTTTGACTGGTATGAGATGAAATCTTAAGAGTATGGTTTTGATTTGCATTTCCCTAATTGCTAATGGTTTTGAACATTTTTTCATGTTTTATTGGCCATTTGTATTTCTTCTTTGAAAAGTATCTGGTCAGTTCATTTGCTCACTTACCAAATGGGTTATCTAATTATCTGGTGTCTTTTGAGCTTTTTATATATTCTGGATATTAATCCTCCGTCAGAAGAGTAGCTAGCAAAGATTTTCTCCCATTCTGTGGGTTCTCTCTTCACATTCCTAATTGTTTCCTTTGCTGCGCAGAAGCTTTTTAATTTGATGCTCTCCCATGTATTAACTCTTACAAGCCTTTAGTTTAAAGATTATACCTTGTGGCTGTGGCGGGACAGCAGATGAGGAAAGTGGGAGGTGACTGTTCCCTGTGTGGTCTCAGAGCTGGAGGAAGAAGGGTCCTAAGCTCATTAGACCTCAGCCAGGAGATGGGGACTAAAGTGTTATATTCAGAGACAAGGGTAGGGGTTGATTTGTAGATGCCCTAGCCCAAGTGCCAGCATGTGTCACTGATACATGGTGAAGGAAAGAGAGAACATGTTGTGAGCCTAAGGGCTGGGGATGGAGAATTTGTCCCCCATTTCAGGTTGCTCAAAACTACTGTGAAGGTCCATTTCATTGCTTCCAGTTCTTTTAGCAAGTCATCAAATTATACCAGCAAAAGTCATGTTCTCCTGATCCCAAGACCCAGAGAACCACCCAGTGGGACTCTGGCGGGAAAGGAGCTGGTTGCCCGTTCCTTGGTTCTTTCTTCCTCTCTGTCACAGGATGGTGGAGTCCATATGTTGTTGAGACTGAAAAACGTTAAACTCTCAAGAAGGTCAAGCTGGGAAATATGTCCTTGAGATGCCACCAAGGCTCTGTAGGAGAAGTGAATATGCTCTCTGTGAGGGCTGTGGGGGTCTGCTCTGGTGAAGGGGAGGGGTGACCTGGGGCAGTTTCCTATGGCAGTTCTGCCCTTGCTGCCTCTCCGGCCTGTGGCTGCAGCAGCTCTTGCTGGAGCACACAGTGCCTTATTGCTCCCTGAGCAGCAGGACGGGCCATGCTGGCCAGGTCTCCCTGGAAAAAGCAGAAATAAATCAAACACCAGCTCCTACTTCACATCTGATGAAATTCTCCATTTCCGCTCCAAATTGAATTCCTCCCGAAGGATGTGAGCGGCTCAGGGAGTAATGAAGGCGCTCCTTCCTCCTCTGCTTGAAGCATGTTTTACATTAAGGGAGGCAGCATTCTAATCTGGGTGGGGAGGTGGCGTTAAGGGGCAGTCTTGAGAACCTCTTCAGACCAGACATGATCTTCTTAGTCTCAAGGGGCAGGCAGCAGGCATGCAGTTGGCTCTACAGAAAGCAGCCTCTGCCAGGCTGGTGGTCTCCTGGGGAAGAAGGGCAGCAGTGGCCTGCCTGCCGTGGCTGCCCACCACCCCTGCCTGCCCACCCGCCACCAGATGGTGGAGGAAGCGAGCAGGAGGTGTGTGCTCCCGAGATGCATGGCATCACTTTTCTATCCACTAGTGACTCAGAGAAAAAAAGAAAGGAATATGTTTTAGGACGAAGATGTTATTGAAGGCATTGTCTTCCATCCTCTGTAGTGGGACACAGTGGGGACACAGTTTGGCATTTGCAGAGGCAGTTGACACAGACTCTTTTGGGGGGGAAGAGACCCCATTTCCCAGTGGGCCTTGTCAGAGTGAAGACTGATCACAGCAGGTTGATGGGACCCTGAGTCAGATGCTAAGGACACAGGCAGTGGGACAGGCCTGGAGTGAACTGCAAAGGTCAAGGTCAAGGTGGTACTAGAAACTCTACAGGTGTGTTCTGGGTTGAAGATGGACTTGAGGTACTTTATTCATCAGTGAAGGAATAGACAGTATTGCCCTTGAAGTGGGCTTAAGAGCATGGTTTCACTTTTCTTCACTTGCTGTTGAAGAAAAGCAGTTTTTTTGGGGAAAAAAAAAAGATAGAGGTTTTAAAAGTCTGCTTACCTTAAGAAATTCTGACAGGGTCAAAAAGGGAAGGAACTTCTCCTTGAAAGAATATTCAGTTGATCCTTTTATGTTGGAATTTTGTTCATACCCTTGAGAAAGGTTATCAAAACTTCAGTCTGTTTTTATTTTAATTTTAAGAAAGAAGCCATCTCCTTTTGAGGGAAATAGCCCCAGAAGACGCAGTAGGTAAAATCCAACCTTAGAGGAAAAACTAGGCTGCTGGAGGCGTGAGAGTCAGGGTCCCAACAAGAAAATTGCCTTTTAGGGAGAGGCTATGTTTCCACTGATAACAGGGTCATTTGTATCAAGTCTAGGGGCCATCTGGGAGGATGTTTAAACTTCAGTCGCCTCAGAAGACAGTAGAAAATACATTTGTCCCAGACTGGAAGAAAGGATGTTGGTGGAAGTGGGAATTCATGTCTAATTCAGCAATGTCAGGATCTGCCCCAAGGCGCCCAGGCCTGGGTGGTGCCTCCAGTGTGCGGAAGGGTGGGGGAGGAAGTCTGGTGGAGACTCAGAACTGTGCAAGGGGAAAAAATGCAAGGGCAGGAAGGTGAAATGCCACCCCCAGCCTCTTTCCTGCATTCCTTCAGGCCCTAACAGACGGTTATTTGCCTAAGTGGGCCTTAGCTGGCCTTCCCCTGGGACAAGGCAGAAGGCAGTCCCTCTAGACAGCAGAGGCCTTTTCTTCCTGAATGGTTTTGTTGGTGTTTCAGTCATCATGTAGAACCTTCCTGAGTGGATGGTCAGCTGTCAGGTCTCCGAACCAACATGCCCATTCCCTGGCTGGGAGACCCTTCCCAAGCTTTCCCAAGTACGCTCATCTCTGAGCCTGTGTTATAAGGCCTCAAGTTGCTTCTGTTTTGTTTTAGCCAAAAGGGTGAAATGCTGCCAGCAGTATGTCTGGAATGTTATTTACTTGGTACATTTCTGTGGCTTTTCTTGTAGCATTGCACATGCCAGAGCCTGGGGTCATTTACTTGAAAATGCCAGGTTGCACAGTCTGTCTTCTCAACAGGGTAACTTTCTCAGTAAGGGGAAGCCAGCTCCTGTGCCTCTCAGTTCCTCCCTCCGCCTCCCTCTCTTCCTCCCTCCCTTCTTTCCTTTCTTCTTTCCCTCCTTTCCTCCCTCTTGTCTTCTCCCTTCACATCTTCATATATACATGTGTACACCCACACAGACACACACAGACACACACACATGTTTTTCTGAGTTAGTGGTCTGACTGTGGAATCGCATCCCTTTGTCCTTAGCGCCTCCACTCTAAGTTGGGTTTCTGGGGACTCCAGAGAGCCCAGCAGAGGCCCTTGCATTTGTGTGCCTTGTCTGTTACTACTGCATGTGAACGTTGTCAGCTTTGGCAGACTGAGTCCTGCAATTGCCCTGAGCCCCTGGGCTGAATGGGTGATGTTGTGCAAGAGAGATCTGGGTGGGGTCTCTCCAGCGGTGGCCGTGGGGGCGGATGAGAAATCAGCAAGGAGTCTTGGCTTGCTCAGAGCTGACATGATGGCAAACAAATGGCTTTTGAAAGAAAGAACCAGTGTGTGCAGTTTCTTAATTTTAAAGGTTTCACAACTGGGTTTGTTCAATTGATGAAGAAGAGATTTTTAAGAAGGAATTCTTCATTAGGAAGACTGTAAACAATTCTGAGATGAAGGATAATGCTGGGTAGAAGCCGAGGAGGAGGAGTTCTGTTTGCCGCTTCTTTCCTCAGCCCCCTTCCTCCCCTTCATTCATCTATGCAATTTTAATCATGGTATTTGGGGTTTTAAAACAAGGTATGGAAAATGAGATTAGATAAATCTCCCCATCTGGTGCCAGCCCTGGGGCCGTTTGCACACCTGGGTGGGTCAACTCCCTACCTCCCCCATTTTTTCCTTAGGTCATGTGAGTCTGTTAGTGCCTACAGATTCCACTGAAAATCTTTGTTTTCCAAAGGCTCAGACCTTATCTGGGTCTCTTGGAAACCTCCCACACCCGGGGCACCTGTTGGATTGTTAACTTCCACCAGGCCCAGTGAGCAATGGAAAATTTGGGGTCCCGTTCTGTTTTGTTTTTTCCTGTCCTTCTGCATGACTTCCCGATTCGCCTGTGAGCTGCTGGGATTGGGCTGCAGGGTCTCCTTTGATCACTCTCCTGACAGCAGGGCTTCACATTCCCACACCTGCTCTTCTTTTACAGTCCAGATTTCAGAGTAAACGCTTCCATTGCCTTGTAATTTTTTCAGTATAAAACTTTGGTGCAGGTTACTTATTACAGGTAATAGCCACTTGATGACGGAGACAACTGCTGGCAGAAACGGCATCCTGAACTGCTGCCAGAAACGTAAACTGCCACTTTATTTAGGTCTGAAAGCGTCTCTCTCTAGTCGAGCAGTCATGATCTAGCATGCACACCATAATAACAGGCTCGCCTCGCCGGGCTAGAAAGCCACCCCTGAGGACAGGCTCTAACAGGACTGCACGTGTTTTCTTTCCACAGCCCACACATCATCTTCCTCTCTCAGAGCACCTTGACAGGCATGAACCACCTCTGTGGAATGCGTCTCTGCCATGAAATTGCTCACGCCTGGTTTGGCCTTGCCATCGGGGCCCGGGACTGGACAGAGGAGTGGCTCAGCGAAGGCTTCGCCACTCACTTGGAAGATGTGTTCTGGACCAAAGCACAGCAGGTGGGCTTAAAGTGACCCTAAGTATTTCCCTGCCCAGGGTCGAGTTCCACGTGCAGTCATTTACTTGTTCGGTGGGTACATACTGAGTACATGGGGCATTGTTTTTGCCTGGAAGATGTCTGTGTATATCAAAAAGGCAAGACCCTGCTCCCCCTGGGTCCAAAGATGAAAAACAGAACAGACAAACAAATGAAGTGGCAGCATGCTGGTGGTGAGAGGACTATGGGAAAGACGGGCCCCATAGAGAGTGGGGGCAGGGGTGCTCTCTCGAAGGTGGTCAGAGAAGGCTTCTGGTAAGGAGATACTTGGGCCGAGATATGCAGGAAAGGTCATGTGAGCATTCCTTTGTGATTATGGTGACATTGACCCAGTGTTTCAAAGAATCAGCTTAAGATGTAAATCAAAAGTCATAATCTCAGATGTCTGCTGGCAAATGATGAAGGAAGAACAAAGCAGCTGGTGCTGTAGATTAGGGAGCACTGAGGACTATGGCAGATTCGCAACTCCTACCAGCTCCAGCCAACCGGATGTTGAGGGAGGGGCTTGATACAGCCTAGACTTGTAGTTTTTTAAGGAAATCCATAAACCTGAATTTTTATGTGAAGTTTACTAATTTTAAAAATATTATACGAATCAGGAGATGGAGATGTGTAACTCAGTGGGAGAGCATGTGCTTAGCATATGCAAGGCCTTGGGTTCAGTCCTCAATGCCAAAAGCAAAAAAAATATGTATGCAAATCAGGCATACCTAGTGACCAGACCTGGTTGACATGCATCCACTGCAACCTCTACTTTAAAGAATTGGCCATCAGTTCTGGTGAGGATATGGCAGCTGACCTGCTTCCTGAATACTTCTCAGTTTCTAATGTTTGGGTCCCTTACACATTGGACTAGGTGGCATTTTCTAAATCCCAAGTGTGTGCATACTTGTATGATTTTGTTCAAGGTAGTTCTGCCCACTGACATCTCTTTGTATTTCACTAACCAACTTGAGGCTCGTTCTTGGGATGGCCCGTGTCCACCCACAATTCTCAGCACTGCCTATACTAGTCAGCTTTTCTTGCTATGACCAAAATACCCCACAGAAAACAGTGGAGGGAAAGTTTATTTTCGCTCAGTTTCAGAGGTCCAGTTCATGGTGGGCCGACTCCATTGCTTTGCACCAGAAACAAGGCAGCACCTCATGGCAGAAGGGCACAGCAGAGGAGAGCTGCTCCTCCAGGAAGCAGAAAGAGAGAGAGAGAGAGAGAGAGAGAGAGAGAGAGAGAGAGAGAGAGAGAGAGAGAGAGAGAGACAGTGAGGAAGGGCCTCTGGGAAGAAGCCCCCTTCCAGGGCATGCCCAACTCCTCAGACCCATCCCGCCTGCCTACAGTTACCATGATGAGTCCACTCAGACTGGGGTGGGCTGATGAGATTGCAGCTCTCTCGATCTAGTCATTTCACCTCTGAATGTCCTTCTATTGATGAGAGCCTTTGGGGACACTTCACGTCCAACCATAACACTGCTCTCCTATTAACTTTGAACTCCCGTGGTGCTTTGCTCTTTACTCTTTTTCTCATTTTTTCCTTCTTCCTTCTACTGTGTGATTTTTCTCATCCTCATAGCTTGGACTACACTCTCTTCCACAGTGAACCTGCATCTCACGTGTCCTATATCCTCTTTGATCACGGTTGTAGAGCTAGCGGAGTACACACATGTAGAGGCCACCTGCTAGATGGGGGGATGGGGCAGGTTCTGAGATAGACCAGGCTTTGTGTCCCAGCTTGGCTGTTCACTAGCTTTCTGAGTATAAGCATAAGTGTAGCCCTGGTGAGCCTCAGTTTCCCCATTTGTAGAATGGACGGGAGGAGGCTTACCATCACAGAGTGAGTGGGGTATGTGTGAATGAGCTTAGCAGTATCAGACACATGCAAGAAGTGTGCGTTCTCTTCCTCTGATTTCCCACCACCCTGCTCGTAAGTAGATGTCCAGCAAGGGTTTGATATAAACATACTGGCATGATCTCTTTCTTCCCTGGGGGCTTCCAGTCTAGGCAGTCAGATTGGTGCTTTGGCAGCTGTGTGCTTCAGGTCTCTGATGGTGGTGCCTCTGTCATTTACCACCTGCACTTCAAGTGGTTCCCTCCTTTGTCTCCTTGCTTGTTCCTGCATGTAACTACCCTGAGTATGTCCCTGCTCCTGACAGAAGCGGGCTGGGCTGCGTCTCACAGGCACCTTCTCTGCCCACCCTGTGCTCCATCCGTGGGTGTAGAAGAGTGAGGATAAGAAGAGCTGTTAGTGGAAGGAAGAGGGAAATGAGGCAGAGAGGGAGATAGCATCCCTTGGAGTGTCCCAAGCTGGAGAGGCCAGGTCCCAGTGCATCAGGAAAGCCTCTGTGGAGGAACGGCTTCTGCCATGGGCCTCTGGGAAGAGAGGCTGCCATTCTCCAGCCCCTCACCCCTGAACCTGCCCCAAGGGTCACCTACCACATAGCAGTAAGTGCTTGGTAGCTCTCCAGGGAGTGACAACGCTCCTGGCACTGGTGCGCACCTGCAGGCCCAGGGACTCAGAGGCTGAGACCAGGCTCAGTTAGAGACCAGCCTTAGCAACCTCCTGATAGGCTCTCAAAATAAGAAACAAAGGGGGTGGGGTATAGCTCAGTGGTCAATTCCAGCACCATAAGGAAGAAAAGGTGAAAACCAAACACCCCTCAGGCAACAGGCCATTATCCAGATTACAGCGGGAACTTTGGAAATGTTTTCAGAGCACATCGTTGCTCTGAGCACTGCTTTGCTGGCCACACTGAGCCGGTATCTCGGGGGTGCCCACATCAGACCTTGCAAGCAGTGAGGAGCACGTGGGTGGGGAGGGGCAGTGCCATCCCTGGAACTCTCCTGCTGGAGAAGCTGGGAGCAGGCACTGGTGGCTGTGGTCTCTTGCTGCCCTGGAGACTGTGCTCTGTGGCACAGCAAAGAGGGGAGTGAGAACCACTGAATAAAGAAGAGACGGACCGTGGTGTTCCCCCCGTAGAGTGGCATATACAGGGCAAGTGGGTTGAGTTGCAAGACTGAACCACACGACTCACCAACAACTAGATAAAGCCTAGACTGCTCCACTGGTGTGTCCGTGCACAGCCACCCCCTGCCCTCATCAGGTTCTGCAGACCTTGAGTTTCAAGCGATAGGCGTTTTTCCTCGCCCATTTTTAGAGACTGGCAGTCCCAGAGGAAGCTGCCCTCAGGGTGGTTTTTGGTGAGGACTCTCTTCTGGTGGGCCAATGACCACGTTCTTGCTTGATCCTCTCATGGCCTTTCTTCCATGCTTGAGGAGAGGGAGCAAGTCTCTTCCTTTTTTTAATTAGCCTAAGTCCTACTGGATGAGGACCCCTCTTATGGCCTCATTTAACCTTAGTCACCTTCTTAAACGCTCTGTCCCCAGATGCAGTCACATTGGGGTCAGGCCTTGAGAACATGCTGAATGAGCAATCTGGTCTGCAGCAGGTGATCCTCCGCCCCAGCTGGCCTCTTGCACCCTTTTGCTGGGGGCGGCTGTCTGCTCCAAGCACAGTGTGCTCTTTCTAGGCCCCACAAACCTTGCGCATGCTCTCCTGCCCACTGAGACCTGCTCCCTGATGATTCCTGTCCTCCCCAAGGAGAGCTCAGATACCTCCTCCTCCACAGGAAGCCTCTGACCCCCCTGGTTGGCAAGGGGCACCTGGGTTTTTCCTTACCTCAATGTCACCTGTTAGTGTCCTGCCCAGACTCCTCATGGTAGAGGCTCTATCCACAGTGTCTCTGGGCCCTATAGGAGACTCAGTAAAATATCTATTGAATAAGTTTTTAGGGAACTTTGATTTCTAGAGAGGCCTGTAGATCCTGCATATTCTCCCTCCGTGGTGGGGATTATTTGGCCCGCCTCAGAAAGATTAGGGCCATGTGGCTTCAAGAGCACTTTCACGTGACAGCAGCTGATTCTGACCCAGTGGGCAGAGTGTAAAGGCCTTCCCCTTCCACTGAGTCTAAGCAATGTACTTTTTTTCTGTTTATGTGCAAACGGTCATCTGGGTTCCATTAGCGGACACCACTGTAAACAGTCCTGGACGAAACTGAGGACTGAGAAGAGTTGGAGGTGAATAGACGCCCACAGCCCCCCACCCTCCTGTGCAGAAAGACAAGCAGGAAAGTGGGCTGGATGGGATCAAAGTGGAAAGGCTCCTACGGAAGCCCCCTCTCTCCAGGCCAGGCGTGTGTCCAGGGAGTGCAAGGTTCCAGGCCCAGGGGCCCTCCTGAGCTGGCTCTGCCTGCCAGCATGGTGGAGTGCGCAGCTGGGTCTTCCCTTGAGGAGCCAAGAGGTTCCTTGGGTGCAGGCTTTTCTGAATGGGAACAAGGTGAAAGCAGGGGGCAGGCCCTGTCATCCCTATGGAAAGAAAGCAAGCCATTCCAGGGGTCGGGTCTAACCAGCACAGTGACTCTTGTGCATGTGTCTGTGTCTGGCCAAGCAGCTGTCACCCCATGAGGCCCAGGAGCAACAGGAGCTGAGAGCCTGCCTGCGCTGGCGTCGCCTCCAGGACGAGCTGCGGAACTCCCCGGAGGAGATGCAGGTGTTGAGGTAAAGCACCCAGGAGCCTGTGCCTGTCCTCTCTCCCCTCCCCGCCATTCCTTCCAGGCTCTTCCAGGCCATCTGATGAAATCTACCCTGTTTCCCTTTTAAACCAAACCAGGCTGGGTTGTTCACCCTCCCAGGGATGAGCATGTTGTGTGTTAAGTCTTTCAGGGTGTGGGTTTCAGTTTGCCTTTTGACATTTTCCTGGTATCTTTATTCAGGAAAAAACTAGCATGAGGCCATTTCCGGGACCAAATTCTCCGTTTGAAGTTCTAATAGTCACTTTATGTGGTGGCTGCAGACATGGAGAAGGTTGGGGTTTGGCGGCCTGGCAGACAGTAACCCTTTAAAGCCAAAGGAAAAAAATCTTTAGGAAAATATTGATTCCTCAGTGTTTAGTAGGAACAGATGTGCAAGTCAATGGGGCTTTTTATTTCAGATGTAGCCCAGCAGGAAGCCTGTGCCCTCTCTCTGGGGCACTAGGAGGAGGCCACTCCCAGCTCCTGAGTTTTGTTTTTAGACTGTGGCTATGGCACTTGTAGGATTAATTCTTGCCATTTTTCCCCCTTTCTGTTTTGCTCCTTTTCTGTAGTCCTCTAAATAGTTGTTTATCTGAAGCTGTGTGACCAGACCCCTCCCCAGGAGTGCTAGGTTGCTATGGCAACAGTAGCTTCCCAGGGCCCCATCTTGACTAGAGTCCAGTGTTTGGAGTCTGTGGAGTCTGCAGTCACACGGGTGGGAAGGACGGCCTTCCAGGTGTCCTTGTTCCTTGTCCATTTTAGATGGCCTCCCTGAAGGCCAGCCTCCTCCCTGTGCATAGGCAGCCTTGGATGGTGCTGCTGTTGTGTTTTTAAATTGCCACCCCAGCCCCTCCTGAGTGTAGCTGAGATGCCCCAGGAGGCAGAAGCCTGATGGAAACTCCCTGAACTGGCGGGACCCCAGGGAACAAGGCTGGCCGGCTTTTGTGCAGGACCGCGCCCTTCCCACGGTGGAGTTCCCTGTGTTTGCACGCTACCCATGGCCTCCCAAGCTGACTCGTCCATTGTTTAGGAGAGACAGCTGGGCAGTGGTGGGCACGTGGCTGGGAGCTAGGATACCCGTGATGCATCTGCTCCCTCAGCCAGTTTTTCATGAGCTGGCAGGATGGCTATCCCCATGCCAGGGCAGACCTGGTCCCTGCTCTCGTGGAGTGTCTACTTAGCAGGCATGCAGCATGGCCAAGCTGCTCACAGGCCGTGAGCAGTAAGGGAAAGGATGGTGCTATGGTTCTGAACTCACTGCAGAGCTTCAAGAATGAGTGGCCATGTGCCCAGCCCCACAGAGGAAGGTACACAGGCCTTGAGGCAGCAAAGCTTGGGTGTGCTCTGGATAGCAAGGAGGACCGGGCTATGAGAGGCAGGAGCCATGGCACAAGACCTCGTCCCAAGTTCTGTAGAACTGCTGTGGGGTCTTCCTCAGGGAAGGAGAGGATCTGCAGGGGTCCTTCCTTTGCTGTTCTGTGTGGTGGTGCAGGATGGGCCTCAGGTAGCAGACAAAGACCGGGAGGGGTGCGGTGGCAGGAGAACTGGCAGGGAAGGATGTGTGGTGGCAGGAGAACTGGCGGGTCTTTGTTTGGTTGAACGTGGAGAAGAGGGCAGGGAGGGGGTCCAGAATGACTTCGGTTCTCAAGTTGGCAGATGGGTGGATGGTGATGGCATTTATTGAGATGGCAAAATCTTTGGGAGGAACAAGCTTTGGAGGGAACAAGAAAAGATTTTGGTTTTGCGTGTGCTTTGAGATTTCAGATAGATGTTCAACATCAAGAACTCAGTGGGCGTGTAAGGCAGGCACTCGTTGGTGAGATGGAACATTCAGCCACAAAACACTTAAAATTCTGAGCATGTAGAGACCGTGAGGCAGAGAAGAAAGCAGGAGAAGAGGTGGTGAGGAAGGTGAGCCAGGGGATCCTGGGGACACAGTATGTGTGGGAAACAAGGGCACTGGGGTCATGGAGGAAAGCGAAGCCAGCGAGCATGGCCGGCGTTGGGTGCTGCTGAGAGTGTGGAAGGAAAGAGAGAAGAGACCCTTGTCAGCACTGAAGGAAAAGCATTCGTGACCTTGACATCTCATGTGCTTATTTATGAGTGGTGGAGAGGAAGCCAGACTGAGGCGGACAGAGGGCGAATAAAGAGTCGGGAAGTGGAGCTAGTGAGTGTCACTTGGCGAGGGACAGAGGTTGTGCTGGCGAGGGAAGCCAAATTGGGAAGGGGGCACAGGGAGGCGAGTGGGGGAGGGATGGACCCAGGTGCGTGCTAAAGTGTGAGCCCTGTGACTACAGATCTTCTCCTTTCAGATGCAGTTTCCCCAATTAAGAGATCATTCCCCTCTCCGTGTCTCAGCCCCTGCGATGCCTCTGTTCTGTGTGACCTTAGTTCTTTGACTGGGAGCATCATAACGAATATTAGAGGAATGTGCTTCCAAGTCATAAGCAAGGTGGGCAGCCCCTTGGAAAGTCGGTCACAGGCAAGGAGATCTTATCTCTGGCTTCCGTGGGGCTGGGGTGGACCCAGCTTTGGGTGGCTGTGTTCTTTTCCTTTGTGTGTGGAGTTGGGCAGAAGAATACAGTATTTTTAGACCTTTGTACTAGAAAACTTATCATGACGCTTATTTTCCTTTGTCTTAATATTCAGAAATTGCGTTTGCCTAAACACAGGCTAACGATGAAACAATTGGATCTGAAGGGTTTCGTGAACATCAGCGGGGAAAATATTCTTATCAGATGTGTTTATACAAGGAGGAAATGATCCCAAACCTGCCCCAAATTGCACAGTCTAGATTTAGCTTACACCCATCCCCAGGAATTCTCCCTTAAATGGGCACAAAAACCTAGAAATTATTGAAAATAAAAGAGCCAGGAGTGGTGGTGCATGCCTGTAATCCCAGCAATTTGGGAGGCTGAGGCAGGAGGATTGCAAATTTGAGAAAGCCCCAGCATCTTAGAGAAACATTGTCTCAAAATAAAAAGAAAAAGGTCTGGGGGGTAGCTCAGTGGTAGAGCACCCTGAATTCAACCCTTAGTACTATAAAAAGAAAAAAGAAAAAAAATAAAAGGAAGAACTAGAATCCTAGAAATCCATCCTCAGATTTTATTTTAATATGCAAATGAACCTGACAAAGAAGTTCTTTAAAATAGTCCAGTGGTGGAAGATACTTCTTCCTCCCTCCCTCTTTCCTTTCTTCTTCATGTCAGGATGCACCATGGTCTTGAAGTGATGGACCAAGAACTGTGTGAGGTCTTGGTGTTGTCCCCTCAGACTGCTCTGCCCTGACAGCTGCTCTGAAGGCTTCTCTATGGTCTGACTTCAACATGGCTGGCCACGTCTTTCTTCCAAGAACGCTTTCTTCTCTCTGCTTCTGCGTGTCCCAGCTTCCTAGATTGCCTACACTCTACTGACCCGTCCTGTCCCACCTGCTTTGCTGGCAGTTGGATATCGTCATTCAAATGACTTTAGACTCAAGAAGACTGAATACTGCATCCAGAATTGCACATGTGGTAAGAGCGGAGCAGGCAGTTAAGCATGGGACCGGAACTCACCTCTTTCCCTGTCCTACATCCTGCCTTCGAAGAGCTCAGCATGGCATTTATGTGCCAGGTGTCTTGAATTCTGGAAGAACATACAGGTCAGAGTGACATGTGCATCTTTGTCTTTTAACACTTGAAATCTTTCAAAAAATTTCAAAAGATATTTCAAAAGTTAAAAGAAAACTCTGCATTCTATTTGTTATAGATACAGAATTAGTAGCAAACTGAGAAGAGGAAAACTCAAAGTTTGTTTTAGCTTTGACTCACTGATTTCAGTGATTTACAGGAACCGTTTTCCATTTGTACCTCTCATACATCCAGTGTGGAGTCCGGGCCTCCCCAGACGTGTCTTAGAGTGGCTCCTTGCCATCTCAGCCTCCTGGGATTGCTCAGAGCCGCAGGATGCTGCAGGTCACATTAATGGCTCCTGCCTTTTCTCATTTGTTAATTATTAAAGATGCCTTTCCACACAGGAGCCCGCAGTGGCTCCCTCCAGACCCTCCCTCCCTCTCCACCAGCCCTGGCAGGAGGCCCCTGGGAGAAGTCTGACTCTGTGGTGCTTCCTGCCAGGCCAGTGCTGCTGGGCTGTCTCCTATTGTGGCTCCTTGGCTGCAGGCTCCTTCCTTGACCAGTGCAGCAGTGTGGCTCTTGCCAGAGAAGGTGCTGGGGGCTTCTCGGGGCCTCCGTCTCTAGTCTCTAGGGTACAGCTGAATTCCAGCAGCTTCTCTCGGGGCTTTCAGTTAGCATTTCTGACAGGCTCCTGGGAGGGAAGAGCTACAAGGGCAGGGTCAGGAAAAATCTCTGTTGGTTTTTATTGTTTGTGATTTATTATCGCTTCCCCCTTTTTCTGGATTCATTGTTAAAGTCAAGCTCACACTGAGAAAAAGGTTAAAATAGATCACATTAAGGAGGCGCTGACAGGCAGGAGTCGGATGTAGCTCTCCCCTCACTACTGTCTCCATGGCTGATACTGCCAGGTAATGTAGACATCTTCCCCTGCTCCTCGAGAGTGCCTCGCCTGTGGCCACAGCAACGTCCACGTCTTTCCCTGGTTCCACCCTTTCCACCTCTTCCACCAGCATTTCCGTTCAGCGCTTTTCCGCCTTGCCGGCACCGGCCCTAGTCTAGCCCCGGAGTGTTTTTCTGCCTCTAGTTTTGCCCTGCCTCATTGCCACCAGAGACTCTTCACAACACCTCAGGATTCTGGCACCTCCTTCCCTCAGACTCTCTGAAAGCATCCCACAGGACCTCAGTTCTGTTTCCCCGTCTCATCTTTGGACATTCTTTGCTTTCCCCTCCACCTGCCCAGGGAGCCCTCAGAACCTTCTGGGTTTGTGCATGCTGCTGTGGCGGGACGCTGAAGACCCCGTGGTTTAAACAGCAGAGTTGTTTCCTTGCCCTTCTGCAGCTCCAAGGTCAAGGCTTGGCCTGGGAGGTTTGTGTG